CGGATTTTTTTTAATTTTTTTTTTTTAATGGATGTTCTTCTGAGCCAATTAAACTGCACAGAATTCACAGAAACTTTGGGGTGAGAAAGAAATGGGGCAGCCAGAGGAAGGGAAATAGGAATGCAGGAGTGCTGGGGCTGAAAGCACAAACAATCAAAGGCTGCATTTCTGTTCTTTTGAGGAATTCCACATTTTGGATCTGCCCTTAATACATCTGCAATCCAAATTGAGAACCTACTGTAACATTTCTTCAAGGTTTTTTTATTTCATAAATAAGGCTGATGGGGTTTTCACATTGGGATTTTATTTGTTTGTTTGCTTGTTTAATTTTTGGAGGACTATTTTTTTGGTTGTTTGGTTTTTTTGTTTGTTTGGGGTTTTTTTTGGTTGGGTTGGGTTTTTTTTTGTTTTGGTTTGTTTTTTTGGGGGGTTGGTGGTTTATTTTTTTGCTTCTGTTTTTATTTGGGGTTTGTTAGTTTGTTTGGGGTTTTTTGTTGGTTTTTTTTTTGTTTTTTTGTTTTTTTAATAAGAGGGATCTGCAGTTTCACAATGAGGACCTTAATTTGAGACTGGAATTTTAGGGTAAAAGCTGATTGTTACCTGCCTGTCTCACACTCAAACAACTTTCATTTAAGGTAATGGCATGAATAAAAGCATATTTGTAAGAGATGAGAGAGAAATATGCTTTTTTATGATTTGGTGGTGATATGGGATTCTTTCAGATTCTTGAGAATGCCATTATTTATATTTACAATCTTTGAAAGTTTTGGTGTTTTGCCTCACTGTTTGCTCTATTCTAAATCTGAAAGCAGCTTGGTTACATTAGAATTGAACAAAGGCCACAAGTCTGAAAAGGTTTGGTTTTGGTGGGTTTTTTTTGGTTTTTTTTTTTTTTACAGAGTGTAATTCATAAGTTCTTTTTGCCTTTTTCTGAGACATATGACAGTTCAGACAGGTCAAATGGAAGAAGAGCTTTTCATATCCAACACATTTATCTTGGTGGAGAGATATAAAATAATTAGGATGTCTACCCTGTAATTAAAAAAAAAAATGGGTGCACTTCTGCTAAGTATCCAAATAAGTTATTTTAGGGCTTAACATCACCTTTGGTGCCTCAGTTGTGTCCACAGCATTTAAGTGCATAACCCTCAGTCTTTTGTGTGATTGGAAAGCAGCTGCTGTCCTTGTCTTTAAAAAAATCATATTGTTCCCTTTTCCTCTGCAGGAATTTTCACCTTGTCCAAGTTTTGGTTAAGTAGCTTCCTATGGTATAAATAGGAAGATATAAGATAGAACCAGTTAGTGTGTGAGCTTTAACTTGATGGGGTTTTATATATAAATGTGAGCTTCTGTTAAAATCTGTTATCATATTTCATCTTTCCTAGAATGCTCTCAGAAATGATGGGAATTATTTGATATAAGGAGATTGTTTTTCCTGTTTGTTCTTTTTTGGCAAAGTGTGATTTTCTTCTTGGTGCAGAGTCCAAACAGGCTGGTACCATTCACTTTATAATGTACAGCCCAAATTTCCCCCCTTGATTTTCTCATCAGTTTCATTTTTCAGTGGCTGAGAACTCTTAGTTATTTTCTTTGCTCTTAGCTGGTTACTCTTCATGTATTTATTTCACCATCTCCTCTTTTTCCATCCTCCATAATTCATGTTAAACCCACAGACACGAAGGATGGAATTAAATCAAGCCCCATCCATCACCTCAGATGCTTTCTTGGAAATGGGGTTTCCTCTTTCTCTGTATTTTTTTTTTTGCTTTTCTGCTTTATTTCCGTTCTCTCAGGGCACAGCCTGGGTTTCCCCAGAGCTCTTGTGTGCTGAGTGTTTTTAGGAAACAATTGCACACCTTTATCTGCTATCTGTGAATGGCAGGGAGCAGCTTCTTTATTTCTGGCCAGAGTTCTTCCCCTTCTTCTCACTTGGCTCAGCCTCCTACAGCCACAGAGGGTGGCACCAACTGGGTAAATTCAGGTAGGCTTTAATTGAAGGTATGAAAATCAATCCAGATATTCCTCTATTTGTGTATCACGTCTCCAGAAGGGAAATTTTGGCCCCGTTTGTACTTTAACTCTTGGGATGTGCAACTTGTCAGAATTTCCAGGCTCTTTTCCTTCTATAAAAAATGGTATTTGTGTCCTAGGGAAACTCTGACAAGCATTTTCTTTCTGCAGTGATGACACTGAGAGCTTTTCTTCACTGCTCCAGGTTCAGACAGAGTGTTAACAATTGTGTCTGCATCACAAAATGCATGTCTTGATTTTTTTTATTGTTGTCTCTTCAAAGCATTAATGGTTCTTTAAAGTTAACTCTGTCAAACATTTTTTATGTAACAAGCGTTGTTGGCTTCTCAGTGACAAAGACAGAACAAGTTATTTTTAGCAGGTGAACCAGTTCAGTTTCCCAATATCTGTCTCTAACTAATTATGAGTAAGGAAGAGTTCATGAGCCAGGGAAAGCAAAGTTGAAAGCTATAAATAGGGAGACGTGGGAAGACAGTTGAGAATTGCTTCTCCATTCTGCTCCTGGTAATCAGGAAGAGTGGGAAATGGCTGTCTGCCTTTGTTATTCCAAGAGGGAGGTGTGCAAATTTACATAATTTCCAAATGTTGGAAGACTGATGAGCTGAAATTTTGACATTAATGCTCATTTGGAGTACTTCAGATTTTCAGCTGAAACCCATCTACCTTCTTTCAGTAGCTGCTCAACACATTCAAGGAAACTTTTTCAAATTCAATAGAAATTCGATAGATTTGCAGCTGGGAGCAAAATCTTATGCTGATTTTTCCTTTTACTATTGCCATGTCTTACTTCTAGCACCCATAATTCTTATGTTTTGCAGGCTGATATATTTTAAATGCAGTTTCTACTTTCTCTTGCTGTTTAAGTGTGACCATATCTTTTTAAAATACTGAGTTGCATTCTTCTCTCACTCTGTTACTCAGATTCATCTTTCAGTCTGTTGCCTTAATCTCCAGTTTATGCAGATCTTTTGTTTTCTTAATGATTATATTATCAATGTGGAATAATGCTTTTTGGCTCCTAGCTCCTTATATTGATTTTATTTATACAGAAAATATGTAATTAATTTTACTCTCCACTTGAGAAATTGGAGCTTCCATTGAATGTACATAGAAAAGGCTAGAAAAATCTTCATGAAAAAGAAAATGCAGACCTGCATGTGTGTGGGTAATTACACAGGTGATCTTTCCATACAGCATGAAACTATCTGGCTTATTGGAATAAACCTAAATTATGATTTTAAGTCAATTTTCATAAACTATATAAATGAACTGAATGACCAAGCAAGCTAATGGTCAATGCACAGTCAAGATGAATATTGATGAAAACTGAATTTTCTCACTAAAAAGTGCAAATCTTTCATTGCTGTTAAGACAACTCTGCCTTTAAGTTGTGGTTAAGAAATATCCCACCAGGAACAGGAGAGTGATTACCATACTCAGGAGCAACTCTTGGTTTTTTCAGTTGTGTTTTCCTCTGAAGAAACAGCCAAAAACTTCTGCTTTACAATTCCCCCTTAACCAGTTCATTCTGAAATAGCCTTTCATTGATAAGGTAATTCCAAAGCAAAGTTTAATTCAGCTTTTCCTGCCTTTGCCAGCTGCATTATTTTCCACTGTAGTGAATGAGGGGTTTTTTTTTGCCTCTTCTCAAATGTTGTGACTCATTAATGGTTAATGATGCCAATATTCATCAAAGTATTGAAGGGATCTGTGTTTTGCATTTTCCTCCAGAGTGCAACTTCTGTCATTTACAGCTCAATATACGTGTTAGAGCATCTAGGAAAATGTAGAAAGAGCTCACTTGTGACAATGCTCAAATGTTTTAACTTTTATTTTCTCTCTTTTTTTTTTTGCTTTTATTTTAAGGGTCAACTTCCCTCTACGAATAAAGGCTCTCCCAAGGGAAACTATGCTGATAATAAAACTACTGGGAGTAAACAGCACCTCCAAAACCACAGAAGTGCTTGCTTGGACGTGTTCCCCATTGTATGCAAAAGAGTAAGTTTGGTTTTATATGGCCTTGAGAAAAGTCCATTCCTGAATAGTGTTGCACTCAACCTGGGAGAAATATAAAAGGACAAAATTACTCATTTCAGGACCTCCTGTAATGGGACTGAGAGGGTCACTGACAGCAAATTCTGATGTGCCAGCAGGGGTTTAGGGGATTGTTTAACACCTGGGATAAAGTTCCCTGGGCTTCTTGAAAGGCCCTTCCCTGCAGCTTTGCCAAATCTTTCTCTTTCTCCTTCACAATGGCTGTGTTTTGTTTTGTTTTTCTGTTCTCACACACATTGTTCTGCCTAAATTGGGGCAGTTAGTGGTGACCCCAGTGAGTGCTCATCCCTCTCCACACTTGAGCAGCTTTCTTCTCTTTCTTAAACAATGGAGCTGTGCCTTAAAGGTGCTTCTAGTTTGGATGTCTCTGCAGTGATGGATAAACATCCAAGGCAAATTTTCTGAAGTGCTCTAAATATGTTTCAGTAGTGTGGACACACACATTTACAGAGCTGGGGAATTCCAGCTTGGGAATTCTTTTCCAGGCCTGGATTTCTCCTGACTCTCAGCTCCATTCCCAGGCTGACAAGCTGACTGCAGCTTCAGTTAGGGAGGAGTCTCCCAGGGTGACAACACGGTGACAAACAGAGTGGAATTCATCACCAACATTAACACCTGGTGTCTTTCCCGTGGGACACATCCTGAGGTGCTGTCCCAAGGATGTTTTTCCCAATTGTCCAATGAGCTCCTGTCCTGTCCTGGCTGCACTAACACACTGGCTGTACAATAAATTGGTTTTTTTTCCCCAAAGAGCTCCGTGTGTGCTGCTGTCTTTTCTCTCTCTCTGCAGTGCAGTGACCACACATTAGCACTGAGACATCTGAATTTAGACTGAGTGTTTGCAATGACAGGAATTTTTTTATCTGGATTCCATAGCCCTCCCCTACAGAGAACGTTCAAGCCCCCCAAGTTTCTGCATTAGCATCCACCTCTAAGCTACAGCTCTTTCCTTATCTTTCCTTTTCCTTATAAGATGTTCCTTACACATCTTGATCTACTTCTCTATGTGGTAGCAATCACCATTTAAAACAAAATAAAACAATAAAAAAATCTGATTGCACATATTAATTTGCTATATTTCAAAGACCTTGTGTTTCCTTGAACTTTTAATCTGAGAGGTGTAGGAAATAATTTGGACCGGGCTAGATGATTTTTCCATCTTTTTCAGAGAAAATTCAAGTTTACTCTTCTCTTTTGTGGCTTAGTGTTTAGGGCATTTAGCTTGAAGGAAGGGGAAAAAAAAGCAAGAATCAAATCTCTGCTGGAAGGATTGCTGGGGCAATTTATTCAATGGCTTTTCTTTCATAGTTCTTAAGAAGAGCACTTCACTCTTCTCTTGTGTATGTATTTTTAAAGAAGGCATGAAATATGTTTGAGGCATGATAACTTAATGAGGGAACACTTATCCCATTTACCTGCAAATATGAGGATTCTATTCTTCAGGACCTGTGTTATTCTGGAGGTTTTCTTATTTTCCAGCATTCAAATCCAAAAGAATGACTTTTGGAAGGCCTGAAAGTCCTCAGCTCCCTGTGAATTCTATTTTTTTCATGTATGCCATCAGAGCAAGTTTTTGTCAGGTAGATCCCCAGGCCACCTTGACAGTTTCCAAAATTTGTTCTGAAAAATGTCTGTGTTCTTTCCTGGAGCACAGAGCAGGGCTACAGGGCCACTTCCCTTTCATTTGCCACGGAATTGCAGAGACCACTGCTGAAATGAGCCTTCAAAAATCAAGGTTGAGTTGTTGATTAGCATGTTCAACACCCTGATAGCTGTGTCATTTACAATTACAGTAATTATTACCACAAAGAAACATAAATGCCTTTTTCTCCCTTGGCCAACCACAGCTCCAGAGGTTTATTCATTCCCTGTGATTTTTAATGATAGACTGGTTTGAAATTAAGAATTGCCCTGAAACTCCCCTTGCTGCTGGAATGCAACTAAACTTCCAGATTTATTTCCACAGAACACTTCTGAACTCGGAAATATGTGTGCCAAGAAAAGATTTGTAGCTCCAGTGTCATGCTAATATGTCAAGAGCACCTTGTATTACTGCAAAGATTATGGTATTAGGGTTTTTAAATAACAAACTCTGCAAATGTGTATAAAGAGATAAAAGAAATCTGAGCAGAAAATCTTTGACAAAACATTTCTAGCTTGGAAAATAACACTTGCTCAAAATAAAACTTTCCTCAGAGGTGAATTTGAGTTCTAAAAAAAAAGTCTTAACATCCTTATGTCTAGAATTAAATTTACTGGGGAAAGGACAGAAATAAGCTCTCTGAAGAAGCCAGCTGCCCTGAGGTGTTTGCCTGGGTCATCAAACATCCTGGTTCAAATCCTTGTCCCAGTTGGTTTTTCTCAGAGTGTGGCTCCACTTTTCTTATTCAGATGCTTGATTAAAAAAAAAAAAAAAAAACAAAAAGAAAAAATTGTTTTGTTAAACATCAGAAAAAGAAAATAAATGTCAAACTTTTTTTTTAAATACTGTTCTTCATTTCTGTCCTTTTATATCATTGTCTGATGAAAACCACAGAAATTCTATTCAAAGTTATTTTGTTTATGTTAGAGAGAAAAGGGGTAAAAAACCAACTTTTGTGTTATTCCCAGGTATTACTTAAAATCTTGATCTCTTAAGGAATACTAATTAAAAAATCTCTGAATTTGCTCCTCTTTGTAAATTTTATATCTAATTTCTCTTCCCAAATAATGATTATAATTATTTTGTATGATCATGTCTCTTCTTTGTTTTTTAATGCTTTACATTTAATTGGAACTGAAGATTAAAAAAACCATGAATTTATTTTAACATGTATACAAATTCTTTTCATCTGTTTCAAGAAGTGTGGAATTTCTCATTCTTTTGGACACAACCATGTTAAAGATCAAAGCCCTGTAGTTATTTGCTCAGAGTTTACCACTCCCATTCTCCTCTAAAAATATAGCAATTAGATTATATGAGAAGTATATATATATTTATAAAGAAATAAATCTAGATCTTTATTTAAAGCCTATTACTTATTATTTTATATTGCAATCTCTTCTCCATACCTGGATCATTTTGAAACCACACAATACCTAAAAACAACCTCAAGAATTTGGCCAGCTTTAGGGTTTTTGCTGTTGCTAAAGACTTGTCAGTGAACAGATGTTCAGCAATCTTCAGATGTGTTTAATTGACATTATTTCCTGAATTCCAGTGTTATCTCTCACTCTGCTGACAGTTTTCTTGCAGTGTGCAGATTTATAACATGATTAACTGCTGGATATGTAATATTAGCCAAACATGGTTGGGATTCCTGCTTATCAAACTGACTTCCTGAAAGGATTTTCCAAAAGTTGCCTAAATTGAGTTGTTTACTCTAAAATCATTGCTTGTAAACGGATTTTGTGTCTTTATATTTCTGGAACAAAATTTATGAAGCAATCAGGAACATGAATGCAAATTTATTTTTTTTTCAAAGTCTGGAATAACCTGTTAGTTTTGTATTCAATGGAATTATCACTTACAAATTTTATCCTGCAAATTTAGGGAAGTTATTTAAACTAGAAACTGCTGGGATGAAGGTTGTGGTCCTTAAAAATATCTGCAGTACATTTTACATCAATTTGCAGTTGAAAATTGTCTCTATCTGGAATTTTCTAGAACTCTGTAGTATTTGTAATTATAATAAAGGAGTTATTTCACAGTATCATTCCAATGCAGAATTAAGACTGCATGGCTCATAAGATATGGGGAAGGTTTTTTAATATATTTTAGCAACTTTGCATTTCCTTTAAATTTAACCTCAACTCTGAACTTCTGAGACTTACAACCTCAGGTTTGGGGACGCTGACATTATTTTTTCACGGTGCTTTGTCCTTTTTTTTTTTGCCAGTTTATTCGGGCTGAGCAGGAACCCTGCTGTAATGCTGTGCACGTTTGTGAATGAACACGGTGGTGAGGAGCGTAGTGCCTGCTTGCCCATTGTTTGAGCCATCATATCTGCTTTTCTCTGCCTTTTCAGCAGCCCAAAATCTGTGCCCGTGGAGCCTTTGATGCTGCATCTGTGCCAAGAAGTCTCGTTTAGATGCTGGAGGCAGCTCCAGAACTTTTTGGAAGCTTTTGTGCCAGCCTCCCATTCCTTCACAATCAGAAATTGTGCTCATCCCTTGGGCTGAACGCTTGAGTGATTGAGAGCTGATTATCAAACCAGAAATCTGTCATTCTGGGGCAGCTGGGGAGCTGCAATGTCCCCCACAGTTCCCATTGCTCTGGATTCACTGGTTCTACCACCATTTATTTTGGTATTTCCAAATCAGACAGAGCAAGCAGCAAAACTTTCCCCCTGCAGGGTGTGGGGAGGGAAGCCTGCCACGGGATTTCAGGGCAGGAGGTTTGTCAAGTGAGGATAACTCGAGCTGCCTTTAAATAGCAGCGTTGTTTTCTGTAGCAAGATGGGAAGTTTATTTTAGCTCCAGTAATAAACAAGAGAAGGGAATATGAGTAATTCCAAAATAAATAAGTGGCACTAGGCACAGAGCAGAATATTCACTTTCTGATCTGCTTGATGGTGAAGTGGTTACATGAAAGCCATTTTGTGGGTCTGTGATCATTACAGAAGTCTTTAAAAGGTCATTACCCTCACCTCAGGGATGGAACAGCTGGAATGGTGGGTGGAACAGGGAGTGACCTTGCTGAGCTCATCAGCAGAGAGGAGAATCTGTCTGCTCACTAAAGGATATGGTTGTCATGCTCATCATGATAATTCCTTCATTTTCTTAGTGGGTCCTGCACTCTCACCTGCTTCTTCTAAAAATAATGATGCATCTCTTCCCTGTTTGCTTCATCCCCTCGGCCCCTGTTGCTGTTCCATTTCTGTGTCCTAAAGCTGACTGTTGTGTGGAATATTGACTGTACCTGTAGTGCCCCAAAATGTTGTGGCTCTGCTGTTTTGGGCTGGGGCAGAATTAATTTTCCTGCCGGTGGCTGGTGTGGAGCTGTGTTCAGGGTTGGTGACACAGAGATGGGTTTGTTACTGCTGAGCTGGGCTCACACAGAGCCAAAACCTTTTCTCCTTTTCATCCACCACACTGGCCAGGCTGGGAGGAGACACGGCCAGGACAGGTGACCCAAAGGGACCAGAGGGATATTCCAGACCATGGCACATCATTCCCAGGGTATAAAGTGAAGGGGACAAAGGAGAAAGAGCAGAGACATTTGGAGTGGTGGCTTTTGTCTTTTCAATCACTGTTACCTGTGATGGAGCCCTGCTCTTCTGGAGGTGACTGAACACCCACGGGAAGAAGTGAATTAATTCCTTGCTTTGCTTTGCTTTTCCTGCATGAATTTTGCTCTCCTGTTAAATTTTCTTTACCTCTGAGACGCCCATCTGCCCTCAAAGATTCTTCTTTGTCTTCCTGGACAGTCTTTAGCCACATCTGTCACATCTGTTCTAGGTGTAAATGAGTTGAAATAAATAAGCTCAGGAATGGTCTCAAACACATCTACAGCACCTCTGAGGTCTAGGATACTTCTTATATTTATCTACACAGGTTTCCCAGGAAAAAAAAAATCTACTGTATGTATTCTTTTTTAAAGGCCTCTATAGTTTTACAGCACAATATGAAAGTGATTAGCAGTAATGAGAGCTCAAAAGGGTAATTTAGTCTTCATGTTCATTTGTTCTCAGCTACTCCTCTGCCTTCTAACAAAAGTGCCAATTAGTTCCAATTATGATGTAAATCTTTGTCAACAAAGGATTAGTTGAAGAGATGCAACTCATTTATTAAAGGTCATCTGAGTACACATCACAGGAAAACCTCTTTGAATCACCATTGATCACTTCCTCATTCACATCAATTACCTAAATGAGAGAGACTTCATAGAACACAATTGCTTTCCTCCAAGTGCTGTCCTGTTCATATCACAGCTCCTTTTCTGCCTCCATTCCCCTGCAAATGCACCTACAGCTGCAAAAAAGCAAAAAAAAACTTCAGAAAATAACTGTCTTTAATCCTCCCGAGCTCTGTTCTAACAATAAAATAAAATAAAATGTCTGTGCTAACAACACAAACCACTTGAGAAGTGGAAAAGAAAAAAATAGTCCTGAATTAGGTTTATACTCATTTATGTTGACTATAAGAGTCACTTCATGGGAGTTCCTTAAATCTTCTTCAGACGACTTTAAGCCATTTATTTCAATTTGCAATTCAAAATATACTTTCTTTCCAGCAATGTTGCAAGCTCCTGCTGGGATCAAATAGTCCATCTGGTGTCTCTTGTACCTTTAACATCTTCCTCTCAGGTGAAAGGCAGGCATTCAGCCCTCATTTACCTGGCTGGCTCTTTCTGCTGCAGTACCTAGTGATTCTCTCAGTTTTGACTGAACAGTGTTTAAAAAGATCTTAGTGGAAATTATTTGTCAGTATAAAAAGATTATGCTGAACATAATCAAATTTCTAACCTCACTACTCATTAAGATATTGACAAATTAAGGGGTAAGCCCGATGCATTATATCTTCCTTTATTCAGGTACTGCAATCTAAATTTGAGTTGGTTTGTTATGCTTAGAATTTCCACTTTCTGAACTTTCTGATTTTATTCGAGTTCTCTAGACTGGATTATGCTGACCTGCCAAATCAGCCTGGCTTTCTTATCTGCTGGCCACATGCATGCCTGTCTTACTGATAACACTTCCTTGTAGCTCTAGTGCTCAGGCTGGCACTTCAAACCATAACCTTTCATCTGCCCAAAAACTCTGTGGTACAAACTATCCCACTCAAACTTCTTTCAGCTCTTTGGAGACTCTCCTACCATCTTTCCCCCCTCCATAAAATCAGCAAGGATCCCTTATGGAGGCAGTAGATAACCGTGAGTTTCTCGTTTTTGTGGAGCAAATGTGCTGCCCTCCACCTTTCAGATTTGCCCTCAAAATTAAATCTTGAGACAGAGAATATTGTGTTATCCTTATTTTACACCTGGCTTCAAGGGCAGCCCCTGTCACACAAGGAGCCAGTGGTGAAGTGCAGAGCTGGCTCAGAGTGATTTTATTCCATGAACCCTGCAAATGCAGAGATGTTGAGAGGGATGCAGCCTCTCCTGGCTGAGCTGGATTGGTTCTGGCCACACAAAGATAAAGGCTTTGCTCTGCTTTGTTCTGTGTTCCATGTGCTTTGGTGGCATCTCAGTGAAGCCTGTTGGAGTCAGTCAGTCAGGAATCTCTGATTTCTTCAGAGAGGAATCAGAGTGCAGGGATTGAATTAAAGCCTTTGAATGGAATGAGTAAGTGAATAGATGGAGTGAGCAAGTAAGTAAGTAAATGGAATAAGTTTTAAGTGCTTTTAGTGAGTAAAAGGTCTTAGATGCCTGAGAAGCAGTGCATGTTCTAGTGAAGGTTGAAAAACATGCTGGTGTTTCCTTAGAGGCTCCAAGAACCTGGCTTCAGACATAACAGAGTTAGAGTTCAGAACATTGCTGACATTTTTCAGTTGGAACAAGACAGGCCATGTATGCAGTTTATACACAGCCTGGTGTGCTAAGAAACCAGAATTGTAATAGGTTAAGGAGCAGTGCTCTGAGTTTGTGTCTTAGCTGGTTGGAAAGTTTTTATAAAATAACATGCACTGGGGAGAGCTGGGGCTCTATGTCATGTGCATTTTGCCATTGCATTTTGCCACTGCTTTTGCCATTTGCTTTTATGCCATTGCTTTGACCATTGCTTTGCTTTGCTTTTGCCTTTAAGCCTGAGCTACTTCTGTAATAAATAACTTTATAACAACTATCAGCTGCTTGGCATTTTGAAGAAAATAACCCAACAGCCGAGTGCCTGAGAGCACCCAGAGGTCCCAAACCTCACTTTGCCTGTTGCATGCAGCATCTCTCCCTGTTTTTGTTTTTTTTTCAGGAGGCTCATCCACGGTTCCGTGCTGCTCAGCATGGCCCTGCACAGCCCAGTCCCCAGCGCAGTGAGCAGCCCTGGCATCTGCAGCACTGAGACACCAACCTCGCTCACCCTGCAGGTGAGACAGCCACGGAGCCAAGGCAGGCTTCTTGTGTCCTGGCAAAGTGCAAGGAAGAGAGGGGTGATCCCACCACCCACCCCCAAAATCCCAAATCCAAAAATGTGTTTCCATCACGGCCACTCATAGAAAAACATCAGCTTTGTCACCTTCCCAGGTTCACACAGCGACTGGGGATTCCAAGGGCAAAGCCAATTGTTTTCCTTATTAAAAATGCTAATGTGTGCTAGCAAATGAAATGTAAAAGGAGGTGATAAACTGGCCTAAAAATAGCTTTGTTTGAACAGATGAGAAAATGGGGATTTTCCAGGCTGAGTTCAGTCAAAGACCGTGCCTTAAAATATCTCCCCCAATTAATAATTCAGGGAAGTTGAGGCAGTAAATGGCTGTTAATTTATATCTACTGATATAAACATGATTTCTCATTCTGTCCCCCCCCCCATTTTCAGTTATTCCCAGCCATATCACAATTTGTGAACATGCTGGAAATGTTGTAAATAAATATTTTCATAGAAAATCTAGGCTTGGCTTGGAAGAGACCTTAAAGATCATTCAGTTTTGCAATGTGACTGAGTGTTTTATAGAGAATAAATTTGTTAGCTTTTAGAAGAGTGATGCATATCAAGTATTTTTATTAAAATGTAGATATAGATATTTTGGTGTGCATTGGTAGACCAAAGCTGGATGTAAATTGAGCTGAATTTTGAAGAACAGTCTGAATTTTCAGATAAATCTACTCAGATTGTCAAATACCTCAAGCTTTGTAGTTTTGGTTGAATGTTTGCTTTCTCTGTATCTTAAAAAACATTATCCTTAATTTCTGACAGGCATGTGTAAGAATGGAAAATTTGTAGATGTTGTACAATATATTTATAAATTGAACATCCAGAAGAGAAATCAGAAATCTGATTTCTGCCTCTTACATTGACAAACTACACATCAGAAATAACTTTACTTTAAAAAAAAATGTAAAAATAATCTACTTTAATGAGTTTTCCATTTGAGAACCATCTCATAAAAAAAAAAAAGAGACAAAAAGCAAGAAATTGCTTTGAGCTCATGCAGTTCTAATAGAATTGTCATATGGGGGATGAAATTCTCCCAGGAATATTTGGTTCCACTGATTTCTGTGGATGGATTTATCAACAAAACACTGAAGTAACATATTGCATACAGTGAGCATCCTCAAATCATTATCCTCTTTTCTTTTTTTTGTATTTTCCCCATACTTTGTATAATCCAAGATAACATTTGTTGACACTTGTATTGGAGGTTATACCTTGCTAAAACCCTTATTTTTTTTCTTTCTTGTTTTTTTCTTTTAATAAGGATCAACTTTCTTCTTTTTTTCATTGATAAAACCTATTTTTTTTTCTTTCTTTTCTTGTTTGTTTGTTTTTTGTTGTTGTTGTTTGGTTTTGGTTTGGGCTTTTTTGTTTTTGTTTTGTTTTGTTTTGTTTGTTTGTTTGTTTGTTTTGTTTTTTTGTTTTTTTAATAAAGATCGACTTCCCAGAAACTGATTTGGAGTTCATTAAACCTGAAGCTGAAGAAAGAAGAGGTGATCTCGTGGAGCCAAGCCAAGAGTGCCTGCAGCACATTGCAAAGTTTTCACAGAAACATTCTCTCTTGCTGTAAGTTGTCCCAGCCTAACCCTGCTGGTCCTTGCTGGACCAGTCAATTGATCCAATTTGTTAAAAACAAAATTTTCCTCTGATAGAGCCTGGCCTGACTGATTTGAGAAACAACACTTGTAAATGGAAGAATAAATGACAGCAAGGGCTGCTAAGGCCCTGGAGGTGGCAGTGTATTTTACCAGCTGAGGAAAGGATTGTTTTTCCCTTTCTGTTACTCGATCTTTTCATGTCTTTGAGGCAAGAAATTAATTTTTCCTTCAAAACCTGAGATTTTTCAGGTAATGTACTACATCTGTATCAGCATCAGCAAGAGCACCTTGAGGTTCCAGGGAAATCTGCCTCCTTTAGTTATTAAACACACCCAGACAGAGCTGGGAAATGGTTTTTGAAAATCCTGCAAGGGAAGAAGTGTGGAAAGTTCAGCTTTCACACAAGGTGGACAAAGACAAAGTGGAACAAAGCACACTCTGAGCTGAGGAAGATCAGTATTCACACTCTGCTCTGGGAATGTTGTGTTACCAATTAGGATTATGTACTGCATAAAATCATTTGGGGTATAATCAGAGTGGGATTTGGAGCACAGGTGCTCACAGAGAGCCATTATACTAATGGCAGTTAATTGTGTGAATTAATCCTCCAGCAAAGGTCAAAAGGTGCATTAGTTGTGCAATAACTAAATAACTTAATTCAGCACTCCCAGTGGGATATGATGTATCTGTTAAGAAGATTTTTCTATGCTGATTTCTACATTGGTGGTCTGACCTCTTTTTTTAATTTTTTTTTTTTTTAAAAAGGAGAGACAAGTTTTCTGTTGTATTTTATGTTTAACTCAACTTCTACAAAGATGAAATGTAAAATTCTTTTTATTAGCCATGGGATCTGTGGTTTGAGGTTTTGTTATTCTGTTTTAAACTGTGAATGGGATGTCAGTGTTTTATTATGAAGAGCCACGGTGACAGTGAAATTTTCACCTGCAAAATATGCTTCAGAATGATTTAGGGAACTTCAAACCCAATGCCTGTGACCTCTGCTACCATGGCAAACTTGTGGTTTCAGGAAGAAGGAATCAGATCATTAAGAAATTAGCTAAGTCCAAAGTAATTTGTCAAGGAAGACAGCACGGGTCATTTCTCTGCTGCTTGAAACCTTGATGTCCATTTTTTTGGGATGCTGCATGGTTCTTGTCTTCAAGACTCAGTAGATGTGGAAAGTGTGCAGAGAGGACCAAGAAATACCATGAAAGGGTTTAAGCAGCTCTTGGACCAAGAGAAGCTAAAAAGGCTGAGACTGCAGTTTGGAGAGAAGACTAGAGGATGTCTGTGTATGTACAATTAATTTTTGTGAAATCATGACAGTGACAGACAAGGTAAATGCCTCGTTAAATCCTACAGAACTTAGGGGCATTCAATGAAAAAAGTAGGAAAGCAATTATCAACAAATGGAATAAAGCAGTTCTTTAGGCAGTCAGTGGTGAGCTTTTAAAATCTGCTGTCACCAAGCTGTGAAGGCAGATGACAACAGCACCACATTCATGAAGGCTAAACTCAAATTCATGGGTAAGGGGCTCAGAAATAGGTTTTACAAAGGACCAGCAAAGGGGAGATGCTGTAACATCCAGAACACAAATATTTGGGTTCTGTGGGAATATGGAGGGAAGAGAGCACTGGAAGTCACCAGTTTGGAGTTAAGGCTGAGCTAAGTTCAGTCTCAGGTCCTTGCAGGAAAGGCAGTGGTCATGTCCTTTGTTTTTCCATATTTTGTTGTTTTCTGTTCTCCTATCTTACAGGCAAAGCTGGTCCAGTAAATGAATCCTCAAGGGGAAGGGTAACATATCTAGGGTGTGAATTAAGCAATTCCATTTTTTGGTGCTTTGTAATCCAGAGGAATCTGCCAGCCTGTAAATTTTGTTGTATCTGTATCAGAGGAATTCTTTTAACCTTTCTCATTCATGAGATACTTTCTCCTAAAAAATTGCAACATGTTTGTATCCCAGCACATTATTGCCATGATACATTAAGATTTCTCTTCTTTTTTTCCATATGTCAAGAAAAAGAGAGGAATCTAGGCAGATTTTTAGTGGCAGTATCACTCTGTGATGATGCTTCAGGCTTACAAGCCTCAAATATGACTTTGAAATAAGTGGGTGTCAGTGGTCAGAAGACACAAGAAACCTTTCTGTGTGTCAGGATCCCTCTGTTCATCCTGCTGAGAGGGGAGGGAATATGTGAATGGACAGAAAATTCTTAAAGGAATGATAGAAAAGGAAGAAAGAGTGGTTAAAACCAGGTTGTCTGCATGGTTGTCCCTGTTGGAAGTTGTTGAATCCAGCAGTGTTGTAAGTTCACAAACCTGGCAGCACAGCCAGGCAGATTCTGCTCCTGCCCTGTGCAGGATCAGGATCCAGGTCTGCTGCTGGAACAGATAAACACACAGATATATTTTTATATAAAGCATCAGGAAATGGATTGCCCCAGTAGCTGGACCCAGGTGTCCCTGCTGTCCCCAGCTGCTGACACCCAGACACAAAAC